CGGTCACATGTACCATCGCGACAATCCTTATAGCTGGAAGGGAAGACAACCGCCAACTCCATCTAAAGATTACCCACCATATGCGCAAAGGAGACGATGTCAGGTTCAACCGAAGGAGGGAGCGTCATCAGAGCAGGGAAATCCACCTGCTAGAAGAACCCGAGATAATTGCGGCGAGGTGCAAAAGAAAGTGAGGTTGTCGGACATTCGCCTCTGTTTCGCTGCTTCAAGCTCGAGGAAAGGAGGAGCCCGCGCATACGACCAGGAACGCTGCGAAAGAACGACCTTCCAAGAGGGAGCGAAGGATTGCACAGCAGACGGCATCGGGCGTCGAAACGAGAGAACGAAGTGCTAAGATGAAACAACCGCGATTGGTTTGAAACCACAGAAGACAAGCTGCGATCGGGGTCGCGAACAGGCGCAGCTCGACGAAGCTCTACGAAGACGACAAAAAACGAAATAGAGGAGCGAAACTACCCCTAGTTCTTCGAGCCTGAAAATGCCGTAGCAGAGGCTAAGGTTCGCCGTGAGGCAAAACCTTAGCAGGGCCTCCTACAAAGACCTCTCTTGAAATCAGATCATGGGATCTTTAGTTGCCCTAGATGATCAACCTCATAATTACTCCACTTTGTCCAATTTGTTGCTCATCATTCTATGTTTATTTATATATATATATATATATATATATAGTTAGTTAGTTTTAAAAAAACTTTAGAACTTAGACATTCAAATCATTGAACTTTTCAAGTTGGACATAGGGGTTTAGTAAAATTGAACTTCAATCTGCTAGAAAATTTAACAAGTCCCCTATGGGATCGATACATTGACTCAAATCCGTATAATACTAGATCAAAATATATACTTGCTTCATTGTCGATGCTTCACAGCATTTCCAACATATCAGCAAACTATCTTTTTGCAAGCGTTAAGAGGAGCAACAGTAAGACTAACATTGGTTGTCCAAAAGAGTCACGAGTTTGAAGAGCTTATACCAAACACAAGGCAACCTCAAACAAGAAATTTTCAAAATGTTTAGATATATAGTCAATCTCTTGAGTCATCGTTGCTAAAGGAGATCCAATATGTGAGATGAAAATTTTTCAGCTATTTATTGAAGGCTAAATGGAGTAATTTGGGTGTTAAATCTACGTTTCCTTTCTCTATGATCATCCCAACTAGCGTGTGCTCCTTCTCTAGCCTAGTCTTACTAGTGAGGAAGAAAGATGAGAGTTGGCGTTTATGCATGGATTATCAAGCAAAGAATAAAGAAAAAATAATTGACATATTTCTTATCTCGGTGATTGATGAGCTATTGAGCAAGTTGTTTGGAGCTATAATATTCTCCAAGATTGACTTGAAATCAAGATATCATTATATTCAGAGACAATCAAATGTACACAAGACTATATTTCGAACTTATGAGGGTCACTATAAATTTCTGGTTATGTCATTCGAGGACACCAACTCCTTGGTTGCATTTCAACTATTGATGAACAAAGTGTCTGAGCCTTTCCTCTGGAAGTATGTGTTGGTGTTCTTTGGCGAAATCCTACTGTACAGGAAGGCCACATTGACCATTTGAAAAAGAAGTTGACAATACTCGATGTCGATGGATCCATTAAAGTTGTCAACTATGTTGGATCATCTGCTACCTAAGACTTTTAAGGGGTTGCGAGAATTTCGGGGGCTTAAAGGATATTGTCAAAAGTTCGTGAAGGGTTACAATTTGATTATGTGGTCGTTGACGGAGCAATTGAAGATAGATAACTTTTAACGAGAGAAAGTTGCAACCATAAAATTTGAGTAGTTAAAGAAGGTCATGATGAGTGTACCAGTGCTGGCATTACATGATTTCAGTCAATCATACTTTGTAGAGATGGATGTTTCAGACTATGGGTTAAGCGCATACTTCATGAAGTGTACACAACCCATTGCTTATTTCGTGATCCCTTATTTCAGGCAAATATTGGCGGGGAGAGCCAAATTCAAGTTAGTTTATGACTGGGAGACATATGAATTGATCCAACAGGAGCTTCCTCTCTTACACCTTAAGGATAAGGTGTTTTTTTTAGGAGGGAGGTAATATTAAACTAGATCCTATGGCACCACCCGCCTCGTACTCCACAGAGTCGACGTCGAACCCGCTAAAATAGTTTGAAGACGTGTGTTAATCGTAAGACTAAAAGTGGCAATTTAAACATTTGTTAGTTATTATTGTGGATTATAAATAGGGTTTAATATGTTTAGGGTTAGAGTTATGTGTGATTGTTGTCTCGAATCTTAGATTTTGCGTTTGGGAGAGATAGCCTACCTCTCGAATTGTAGGTGTTTATCTTTTATGTATTTGAGTTGTGTTGTTTGGAGTTGTAAAGTAAAAAATATTTTGCTTTGTTGTAATCTCTGTGAAAATTCGTCTTCTTCCTATTAAATACATAACAGCTATTATTTGAATTTTTCTTGGTCGTGGATTGCTGGAGGATGTCAGCCAATTTTCAACAAAGAATTCCATACAGACTATCTCTATGTTCTAACCAGTCAAATAGTGCAAGGATAAGCACTTGACCAAAATTTTTGGCAACAGTGATGGACGATCAACCCGTCCATTTCTAGAACCCTATAGTCTCAAGAGCAGCAAATTAATCTCACACTAAAAGTCTCAAATTGCACCTACCTAGTCAAGAATGGAAAACATAAACAGTAAGCTTTTTTTTTCTCTTTTTTTTTTTTTTTTTTTTTTTTTTTGGTATTTCAAGCTCTTTAGATGAATAAATATTAAGAGAGTATTAGAGTTAACATGGAAACAGTAAAATGATATAAGTTCCTGCTAATCCAAATGTCGCCAATTAATATTCTGAAAGGTGTTTTTGGCATTCTCGATTTTATTTGTTTGTGTCAACTGGTCTTGCATTGAGAAATTTGCATCATTAGGTTTATTTGCAACATATTTGCAGTGTCACTAGAGAATCCAATCATAGAAGAACAAGTACCAAACAGCTCTACTCACTTTCTGCCCAAGTAACTTGTTTAAAAATGAATATTCTGGTAAATAAATTCAATTCAAATATGTGCATCTCTGAAATAAATATTAAGTCTATGAGATCTTGCCTGCACTTTTACAATCAAATATTAGAATACGATATAAATAATTGTAATTAATAAAATTTTTAGTCGAACAATAGCTAAATAAATCCTATTTATAACAGAAAAAACATATATTAATAAAATTAAGATGAGACTATATTTAACCTAAATTTCAGTTATTTATAGCACTTTTATTTATCAGTTAGTGATACTATCAAACGAAACTAGAAAACTAGTAATGAGCAGCTATTGGCCCACCTAATTTGATGAAAAATAAATTGTCATGTAAATATATTTAGCATTAAATGTTATTGTCAAATATTGATACATGATATATATTCTTTATTGGTAAACTTATTAGTCTCACATTAGTTTAATACAAGTTAATCATACCAGAACAACTCATAATAAATAATAACATGCCCAGGTCATACTCAACCAAAATTTAAACATAACACTATTTATTCGATAATTATATTCACAAACAGAAATAGAGAACTGATAACAAGGCAATGTATAAATAATATTCTTCCACCCAACTAACTTGTTGAACAATAGATTGCCATCTAAATAAATTTAGTATCAAATATTTATACATATGAAACTAATATTTTAATATATGATTTTAATTAACACTATTTTTTTCAAGTTTTAATATATGATATATATTTCTAATCAATAAAGTAATTTATCGAACACTAGTTCAAAATATGATAATTATCCCAGAATAATCAAGTATCAAAAAACAAAACAATTAGATAGTAATTAACCTAAACTTTAATTATAATACTTTAATTTATTAGATAGTTATGCCCTCAAATAGAAATAGAGAAATTAATTTACTGAAACGTTGTTCAAAAAATTAAGTGAAAATGACTATAGATGTGTTGCATGAATTCAAGAAATAAGCCCATTAACTTCTAGAATGAGATAAAAAATCATTGTCAGAAATGCTCTTCTGCTTGTTTATCATTTTTTTCAAAGCAAAAGCCCTGCACCTTCCCAAAGAACCCCTCCAGGCAATAGCCGATGCGTATGATTAATGTTTGTGGGCTAAATATATGCTAGAGATCAGGAATTGCGCAAAAGCAAAAGAAGACTACAAACGTTGAATAAAAAAAACAAATGAACTGCAGCAGCACCATTACATAGTTAGCAGCATGAATCAAGGCCGTAGTGGTTTCTTTCTGTTATTTTTTACACATTTTTGCTGGAAAATATCAGATAGTCTAGAAGGTCATAAAAAATAACAAAAAAACAGAATTGCTTTATGTTGTAATGAAAAAATCAGTTAAATCTTTAAAATTTAATTCGAAAGCATGACATATGTCAAGAGAGAGCCTATGAAATTGGATTGGATCAATTATACGTGGACTTTGGCCAAAGTATTTAAAAAACTAACATGTGCAATTTGACAAATTAATAATTCATAATTAACACTCTTCATTAAGCTTCTGAAAGGTTATTTCAGTTCCAAATACAGTTTCAATACTTCCAATATTAATACTGGCAACTGTCCAAGTCCAAGCTAATGCTAGTCAAGTCAATAAAAGTAAATACTGAATAGATGCATTGTGGCGCATGCACATAACGCTAACAACCAAATAGAAGAAATGAAATGATAATGGCAACCAAAGAAAAGATTGAATTTTTGCATCATTATAATAACCAGCACATCAGAAGCACATCAAGAAGAGACTTTTTTAAAAAAGATTAGACTAATAAGATATAATTGTATGAACTTAAATTAATCCAATCCTCAACCTTTCAGTGTAAACAGGTCCCTGCAAACCAATTTTTTGCATCCATGAAAGAAAAGCAGCATGTATAAGAAAATTTGGCATTTTCACATTAGATAATTCAAGAAAAAAACTGTTTATAGCAGACAAATCAAAAGGATTTAATAATAAATATGTAACCTGCTTCTTTCCTTGCTTTGCAAGGCCAAGTTGACCCAAGACTTCTTTAAGCTCCTTTATTCTGAAGTACGCCAACTTGTCCTGCATGAATGATTATTAAAAAAATACTCTATAAAATAACCCAGTGAATCAGTGCTTTATGATTTGCGACGAAAAAACTACAAAAAAAACCAAGTCAACATAATATGGCACAAAGAATAATAAAATAACGTAGAAAAGAAAGATGTCAAAGATAGCATTATATGTCAGACCATCAGACAAGCTTCAAATATTCAATCCAAAAGTTACAGCTAAAGTTTTCTTTCACTTCATTTTAAAAAACAACAATTATTAAAACGGGAAAGACCAAAATAAATGCATCTTAGATTTCAAGCAATTAAGGGCTCTCTTAGGACAGCTTGAAATAGCGGGCGGCATTTTGAAAACGCCGCTTCACTGTTTGGTTTTGATGTCTTCCCCGCGATTTTGAAAACGGAGTTTCGATTTACGTAATAACCTCGCCCGCGGGATGATCCCCGCGGGCCGCGTTAGAAGGTTGCGTATTACTCTGCTGCCCTCGTGATCGAGAGCTCTAACTGCCCTAGCCGCTCCCTCTCGGAATTCTTGCTCGCGATCGAGGGCTTTTTCCTAGCCGCTCTCTCTTCTTCGGCATT